GAGCTTGACTGCAGTTGTGGAATTCGATATGTGAGCCAGGAGAAGCAACATAAAAACCCCCAAAATCTCCCTATACGGCCTTCCTTCTGAATTTCTTTCCATTTGATTTCCCCCACTTCTATGGGCAGTCCTTGACTTGCGACCACAAGGGAGCCCAAAATGTCTGCGGTTAAGTGTGACCTCGTTGAAGTCAGTTGTGTCCCATTTTACGGAACTTCCCTTGCCACATTCGTTAAGTTGAACCGCTGCCGTTGTTAAGCGAGTAGCACAGCTGTTAAGTGGATCCGGCTTCCCCATTGTCTTTGCTTGTCAGGCGGTCGCAAAAGCGGATCACACATGACCCTTGGAACACGGCAACCATCGTAAGTAAGTATGACCCAGTTGCCAAGAAGTTTGACTCACGTGACCATATGGGGTGCCAAAATAGTTGTAAGTATGAAAAACGGTCCTGTCACTTCTTTCAGTGCCGTTGTAACTTCGAATGTTCGCTAAATGAGTTGTTATAAGTAGGGGAGTTCCTGTATTCCTTTCGGACACCTAAGGAGGTGCAAAATTACCTTGTAAAATGATTGACAAGACTCTTTCCCCAACCAATCATCATTCCACTTAAGGATGAGGGTCTTGACAATCGTTTTACAAGGTAATTTAAAGCACCTGTAGGCCAGACAAGGAATCACGGTTGGAAACTGAACAAGGAGAGATTCGACCTGGAAATAAGGAGAAACTTTCTGACAGGGAGAACCATCAACCAGTGGAACAGAAGTTGCCTTTGGAAGTTGTGGGAGCTTCATCCCTGGAGGCTTTCAAGAAGAGATTGGATTCCCATCTGTTAGAAATAGTGTAGGGTTTCCTGCTTGGGCAGGGGGTTGGACTAGATGACCTACAAGGACCCTTCCAACTCTGATGATCTGTTCGATCTGTCAGAGGGAAGTGGTTTTCTGGATTCTTAAGAAAGCATCTGATTGGAAGGACCGGGGCGGGGAGGGGGCAAAATATTACATTTTTATTTATTTACTTGCTCGAAATTATTTACTTTGCTATGAAATTATGTGATCAAGCTTAGTTTTTAGGGAGGAAAATAACGGGGGGGGGGGGGGGGGAATTCTGCCTCTTCCTGCCAGCCTCCATCGATTTGCTGTGTGAGCAAGGAGGAGACAGCGTGGAGCCTGGGCGTGGCTTAGCTCAACTGTTCTGTACTAAAAGCTGCTTGGAGCTCTGAAACTGAAACCGAATCTGAAACTCCTCTCCTCTGCTTGTGTTTTGCATTTGGAAGAGATTTCTTTTCAGGTGGGGAGAGGGAGTAGAACTCCTTAGCATCAGAGCGTGTTAATAATAATAATAATAATAATAATAATAATAA